ACATTTCTTAGTCAAATAAATGTTGGCGTGTGACGGTTCTTTGTCCTGCCAACCTTCTCTATGTGTCTATTTGTGTGAAGCATCATTTCCATATTCCTGCCACTCCTTTGTCTCAGAAGAGCAGCTGTAGATCATCGTCACCCTGCTGCATGTTGTCACTGGACATATTTGAACTTTGGCTGCAGAGGACAAAACATCTGGTGGAGGAACTCATTCAGGGGGTCTGGCAGCTTTTACAGGTACATTTAGTCAGATTCCTTTTTTCTTCTATGTAGAGCGAATTAAACAGCTTTGGGCTGGAGGTGGACAGAATACTGAGCTTAAACCAGTTAGTTAAACCAGTTCAACTAAATGATGAAATGAGAGAGAGCATTAACAATGAAGTATGAAATCTATAAAATAGAAAGGTATACTGCTGGAGTCCAGATATCTAGAACATGCTTACACATTCTTCTTCTTCTTAATATTACTATTATTCTGTGTATTGTTCTGAGCCAACATTAATCCTCTCAGAGGTATTTATAGAGACGTTTTTCAGCTGAGATGCAGAAGAGTTTTGTGTTTTCTGATTGTTGAAGAAAAGTCTCAGGAGGAGAGAGTTCTGAACCGAAGACGGGTTACAGTCAGTGTAATAACCTGATCTCTCAAACAACAGGTTTCACTCTGAAGAATGGAAGGTCTCTACATTAACAGCAGCTCACAGAACCAAAGCTACGATTACAGCAACACCACCACTGACTACCAGAAAAACAGCAACATAACCTCTGACAACTATATTGAAGTGGTGGTATACATAATCGTTGCTGTCGGCCTTCCTCTGACCCTGGTGGCCATCTATTCTCTTTATTCTATGGTATGTACATTCTGACTGAGAGTTATTTATTTCCTGTCTGTGTGGTGTGTCTGTCCTACAGTCTGTCTGTCTGTAAAGGATCTGGATCTGGTTTGGGGGCTAGGTGTCAGGGGGCTGGGACAAAGGCTTGGAATGATCTTTAACCTGACAGGAATAATTGACTCCAGAATTCAATGTCCATGAAGCTGACTGGACCCTAAACACATGCAGTTTCCATGTGTGGCTCCATTCCAGCCTTCTCTTAAACTGTTGAGCTTAATGACTCTATCAAGTTCTTTGCCTCCAGTTCTTATTTGTGCGATCCTCCCTGAAATGCTGATTCAAGGAGGAGAGAGGCTCACCTTGCAAACACAAACATGAGCCTCAAACTGCGACTCCAGTCTGGTGCGTCTGTCTGATAAATCCAGCGCATGTGTTTGAGCCAGAACGCTTCATATCTGTGGCTGAAAAACTGCTGCAGAAGCTGCAGGAAATCTGGCCCTTAGTCTTGTTGCTGCACTGATTGGCCAGTGGGTCATATCTGAGATTTCTGTTGGATGAAAAAGTCAGAAATGGCTCTGACTGCAGCTGCTGGGCAGAGCAAGATGACAGATTTGGGAGGAGGTGGACTTCACAACATGTTTCCAACTGCTTCTTGACTTTTACCAATGTTTTCCTGCAGGTGAGAAGTGAACATGTTGCTCCCATCTACGTCATCAACCTTCTCATTACTGACATCCTTCAGTTCTGCTGCATGATCGTTCAGGTGGCACCAAATGTGGTTTGGAATATAAAGATAATCTTCTCAGTTATTTACCTCTCTGCTCTGATTGCCAGTGTTTTCTTCATGGTCTGCATCTCCCTGGAAAGGTATCTATCTGTCTATCCAGTATGTGTGGAGCTCCTTCTGTGTCTGAACATTATATTAGTTTATAACTCTGAAGCTCCTCAAAGACTTTGTGTCCATCTTGTATTACAGGTATTTGGTCATCGCCCACCCACTGTGGTACCGCTGCAGACGAACCATCAAGACCTCTGTGGTGGTCTGTGTCCTGGTCTGGGTCCTTTCTCCTGTCTCTGCCGTCTGTTTCTATTTCACTTATGTCAGATACACACTCGCTGCCCTCCTCCTCCTCCCTCCCTTCCCTCTGTTAATATTCTTCCTGGTTGGGACCCTCAAAGCCCTGTCTGCTTCCATCTCGGTCCCCTCTGATGAAAAACGACGAATTGTGGGAATTTTGGTTCTGGTGCTGCTTATTTACACTCTGCTGTTCCTGCCCAGCATCATTTATTACCTGGTAGAAAACCATCACCCGACCCTCTACTTCCTGTCTCTCATCTTCCTGAGGTTGAGTCCTCTTGCAGACTTGTTCCTGTATGTCTTCATGAGGAAAGGGTCATAGACAAGCTTTTGGCCTCTGTGTGTTGCTGCAGAATGGACAGCAATGATATCAGCTGTCCATCAGTATGAATGATGACAACATTTCCACAGTCAGCTTCATGTAGGCAGAGAAAGAGGGAGAGAGAGAAAGGGGAGGAAACAGGAGGAGAAATGGAGGCCAATAGAAAGGATAGAGACGAGACAGATCCTGTCATTACTGAGACCATTTCCAATAAGAACACCTAACTGTAGAAACAGGAAGCACTGTTTGGACTCTGCTGTGGGAGAAGTGGCTGCTGGGAAATGTTTTGGTCAACTTGCTCTGGTTCGCTGTGATGGCTTCAACACATGGAAAATAAAATGTGTTTATTAGTTTGGAGCTGGAAGTTGATGTCTGTCATTTTCTCCTTTAATCCAGAAGCAAAGCAGATATATTTTAGATGAA